CCACAGCTAGAGAACATTCCAGGAGGCCTGCTGGCTTGCTTGTCTCTCTTTCCTGTGCCTGGCTTTTGAAGGAGAGCTACTGGTGGTGGTTGAGAGCTACTCGTACACTGGATAGGATGAAATGGAGGAAGATGAAAACCACCATAGTTCCTTTTTCCTAGAACGAGGGATGGGCAAAGGTATCATCTCTCTTCCTCTTTCAAGCTCAAACCTAAGAAGCCATCCGAGAAAAAAGGCACTGACATGGTTGGTTGAGAAAAATCAGGAAGGGGCAGATATCGTGGTGATGGTATGTTCTCATGGTTTTGGCAGAGGTCGGAGCTCTATGACCAACAGCTGGGGGAGCTGAGCTGGACAATTTGCTGGGCTCCACAGACAGAACTTTAAAGTTTCTGGGTGCTCTTCTGTAACAGTGGGGATCCAGACATCGGCAGAAAAGTCTTTCAACCTTCCCATCAGGCAGGAGGACAGTGCTGAGGGCTATTTCGCAGTGTCGCCTAGTGAGTTCCCAGCAGGACTCAGCCCAGTTATGGGCAATAACTGTGTACAGCAGCATACTGGTATTACTGGATTCTCCCTCTTTTATATCTGTCTTTCCCCATTTCTTTACTCCTGTTTCCTGAGACGAACTCCCAAACAAGTAACCTGTATCGAAGTCTCTGTCTTAAGGTCTGCTCAGGGCCTACGAGAATCCACATAAAGACGAATGTTCCCCCATCTGAAAGTGAGTCTGCGTAAGTTGTTCTGTTCTCTGGAAGTTATGCCACTGGTGTCCTGCATCTGTGGCTGGTCTCAGAAAGATCTCACATAAGATTGTGAGCACATTTATATTCTACAAGCTCTGAGTATCACTAGAGTGACTGGCTGTGTGCATGCTAGAAAGACAAGGTGACTTGGTAACCAGAGAAACAGACTCCCTAGCTCCCACCTCCTCACTGGCTTGAGAGTGGACACACTCGTAAGTACCACATACAGAGGTACCACACACACAGGAACTTAGGTTTCCTCCCCACTCACTGTTTCAGTCATGCACGCACATCCTACACCAAGAAGCAATTCCCCTCCAAAGGCAGGGGGCAGGGAACCATCAGCAAGGATTTCTTTGGAATTCCTGGAATGAAGATAATATAGGAGAACACTTCCTGCTCTCTCAGAAATGAGATTCTGCTATTGGCCTACTAGAGGGGGTCAAAGCATTGTACAGTCAACCCTTGAAGGGCTTATCCTCAACTCCAGATAATTAAGCAGGCATATGATTGACTGACAGGCGAAAATTTTTTTTCTGGGGTGGTGCGCCACACTCAATAGATAGACAGGCTCCACTAAGTAGGGAGGATGGCAGAGCGGTTGTGCTGTGGACAATTACCGATTTCTATCTTCTGTTTGAAGGACTGGTTCTGCATTCACTAGTCAGGTAGGCATTCCACAAATATGTGTAGCATGCCAGACCCAAAGATGACTAAAACCAGTTCTCACTCCCACTGTAGTTACCACTGAGGAAGCTGCTGCTCCAAAATTAGTCACAGACATTTCATTTAAAATTAGATGTCATTTCTTTTCCTGGAGGTGACTTGAAGGACTTCTGGCCATAGGGGTAGGGGCAGAGTTTTCTGAGATGTGATGGGGCTGAGGACAGTGCTTTACAGGAGGTATAATGCGGGGAGGAGATGGAAGAAGGAAGCGGGAAAAGTATCTTAGCCTTTTTACTGCCATAACAGTATACCTGTAATTGGTGATTTATAAAGAGTAGAGATTTGTGCCTTATAGTTCGAGAGGCTGGGAAATCCAAGGTCAAGGGTTGGTACCTGATGAGGGCTTCTTGGTGTGTTGTCCAGGAGCGAAGACAGAGGAGCAAGACTGCATATGAGAGGTGGAGGGGAAGGAAAGGGAAAGGACTGAGCTCAGCCTTTCATCAGGAAGCTACTCCTGAAACAGGGGCATTGAGATGCACTATTGCTTAGCTTTCCTGCTGCTGGGACCCAACACCCAACACTGACAACTTAAAGAAGAGGTTTAACGTGGCTCACAAATTAAGAGGCTTCCTTTCACAATCAGCTAGCTCCAAGGCAGAAACATCATGTGAAAGGGTGTGGTGGAGAAAAGCTGCTCCACTCACAGTGGTCAAGAAGCCCAGGACAGGGGAGGAGCACCAAGAAGAGACATGTCTTCCAAAAGCATGCCCTCTTCTTCATCTTTCTCCTGCAACATGGAGCTACCTCCTAACAGCACATTCAGCTATGGGCAAGAGTGCACAGATTCCCTGATGAGTATCATCATCATCCAGTTACTTTTCTGGTGGTCTCTTAATCTCTTAATCTGGCAATCATGATCATCATATTCATTCGCCTAATTACCACTTAAAAATCCTACCTTTCAGCACTGTTGTATTGATGACTAAGTGTCCAACAGATGAACCTTGGGGACACATGCAAACCACAGTAAGGGAATAGACAGAGAAAGGGACATCTTCTCCAATTCACCCTGCCCATCTGTGGAGCAAAGGAACATAGTAGGTGAAAAAGCCACCCCTTTAAATTCTGGGTACCTGGGAATCCACCTAAATGCTGCAGGGAAAGAATTTCCCAGATCTCTCAGACCTCGATGCACCTTTATCCGCAACCACCAGAGAAGGGAGCGAGCAGTGAATGGAACTTTGTGCTCCACTGCTCTGCAGGACTCTCCAGCTGGAAACTGACTGATTTCTCCTCCAAGAAGGAACTCATGACTGGAGATGGAAGGACACAAATTTAACACATGTTGTGGGGGCTGTGAGGCCGTTTCCACCTGTCCAGTACCAAGGAGACTTTCTCCCTATTTTAATCAGATAGTTCCCCTGAAAGTACCAACTGAACAGGCCACTGCTCTTTACATCTCTCTTTCTCTCTCACACACTAAATTTTTCTAAGCAAAAAGATGTGAAGCTGGAGTCACCCCACCTTCTACCCTACAGCTATTACTAGCCAAGCTTTATAAACAAATAAAATAGCTTTCCAAACACAGGCCAGAGAGGGAAGCCACAAAAAGGAAGGAGAAAGAAAAGGAGCTCAGCATTTCTTTCCTTCCTGGAGACACCCTGGGTCTCCAGTGGATGCGATCCCCACTGCTAACTATTCCACATCCATTTTTCTCCCCTCACATATAGGTCCTGAGGAGACCCTGCTTCTGTCGCTGAAAAGCCTATACACTGGTGAAGGAAAAAATATGCAAATGAGTTTAGCTCAAAGGATGCCAGGCACCAAGAGGGAAATGGGTACAGGACAAAGGTGGCAATTCCATAGAAAGTCTGTCAATGCATGGAAGTGGAAAAGTAGAAGATTTAAAAGGTAAATTTTTAAAATTACTTAATTTTTTAAGTGCAGTTCTGAGTGGACAGTAAAATTGAGGGGAAGGTAGAAACAACCCTATATCCTTGCCTCACAATGCACCCTCCCATTATTCTCATGGCTCATCAAGCAGTATGTTCTTACATCTGATGGACCTACAATAACTTATCATTGCCACCCCAAGTCCCCAGTTTACATTAGGATTCACTCTAGATACTGTACATTCTACAGGTATGCACAAACATAAAATGACATATTCACCAACATAATATCACACAGCATTTTCACCGACTGAAAAAAAAAAACCCCTCTGTGGGTTTTTCAGAAGAAAAAGCAACTGCTGTGTGTTGCTAAGTAAATGTTGCTTTCCTAGTAGAGGGACCAGCAGGAAACATGGTCACCAAGGGTGAAACACCATGCTGCTGTGCTGGAAAATAAGGCTTGATGTGTCACAAGAGGCAGGGAAAGAAAAAGGTGGAACCATGGCAGATTTGCATATCACAAGACGAGATTTGCCTGAACTGAGTAGTTTACAACTGCCCAGAGCAGAGATGAGGAAACCTGATATAGGCAGAGAGGTACAGTATGGGCAAACCTGAGTTAAGAAAGCCTTCTTTGTGACTGCTGCCACTGAAAACAAGGAGGGAAAATATCCCCCAGCTTTCTGGCTTAAGTGGCGAGGAGGATGTGAGTCCACAGCCCTGGGACAGGGACAGCTCTTCCTGCAATGGAAGAGCTGCCCATTCTCCCTAGCACAGGCCTGTGCCATCTCTCCTCTTAGAGGACTGTAACCACTGGGTAGCAGATTACTTCTTGAAATGTTCCATGATCTTAAGCCTCTGAGCTATATATGTGAGAGGTACAGAAGGGCAGGAAGGAAAAGAACTTCAGAGAGGGAGATGGGACTGAGAAAAAGGAGACAACTGTTTCTGCAAGTCCTCAGCTGCAGCGCCCACAGTCATGAGGAGCCTCAGAGAGGAAGACTGAGGCCTGATACAATTACTTCCAGCCGTGGAGCTGCACAGCCAAGGAACTGGGAACATTCCTGGGCAGGGGATTTAGCTCAGTGGCATAAGCACCTGCCTGGCAAGTAAAAGGTTGTGAAAAAGTGTGCACTCCTGCCAATGACCAAGGCCTTTCCAAATGGGTACAGTAGCTTTTTAGAGTCCAGGCCTTGATATTACAGGACACACCACGACCCCAAAGAGATGTCAGTTTCTTGCCTGCCCTGTAGGAGGGGTGAGATCGGTAGGTAGATGTAATTAGAGAGCACCCTATTTTCTTGCAGTAATTCTTTCTGCTAGCCAGAATCAGTCTCAGCAATCACCGCAATCCTAGCACTCAGCTAAGCGGACCTGCAGTGGGGAGAGACAGGTGGATGGGGTGATGTGCATTATCTCTCCATCCAACTAGTGGGTAGCCCATCCGGAGCTCAGTCCCCAAGAACTCCTAGGCTGGATGCTAGGAAGGAGATGATATGCTACTATTTCTTTTCCCTTTTTTTTTTTTTTTTTTTTTTTAATGCTCACGGAGCAAACAAAAACACTTATCAGTCAAAGGAGAGAAAAGGGTAGCTCCGCAGCGAGCCAGAGCCAGCCCGTAGGCGGGGCCAGCCCCCGCCAAGGAATGCTGCGCTTGCGCACAGCAGACGCCGAAGCTGTGAGCTCTCAGGGCGGTGGGCGGGGGCTGCCCGGGCATCCGGGTCCCTCACCCCGCCCCCGCTGCATGAATGAGAGGCGCGGCGCCCGCCCCTCCCCCACCGGGCCCGCCCCTCTCCGGGGGCAGCGGTGCGCCGTCTGCTGCCGCCACCTCGGCCGCACCGGGGCTCCGCTGACTGACTCGTCGCACGCAGCCATCCGCCCGCAGCCAGCCGCCGAGAGCTGAAGGTCTCACACTTCCACCGCCACCGTCGGCGCGCCAGAGTAAGTAAGCGAGCAAGAACGCCAGCACCGAGGGCCGCCGCCCCCGGACTGAGATTTAGGGGACCGGGCGGGTCCAGTCCGGGATGCTGGGGAGGACGGGGGCCCGCGCCAGCCCCCCTCAGACTGCCCAGCCTCGGCGGACCCGGCGGGGGCAGGAGGCTGGGACCGCGGCCCCAGGCCGGAGAGGGACGCGGGGGAGGGTCCGGCGCGGCCCGGGGCTGTCCCGCGGGCAGAGGGCGCGCCCTGTCACCAGGAGGTCACCGAGAACAGGTTGGCCGCCCCCTCGCACCCGGTCGCCCGAGCCTCGGTGTCTGTCTCGGGGCGTGGGAGGTGGCAGCGGTGAGCAGGGAGGCTCGGAGGATGGCGAGGACGGCCCCTGCGTGGTGGCGGTGGGGACGCGCCTTGGGGGGCGCGGCGTGGCAGTGTTTTCCTAGTCCCGATCCACTTCTCTCCTTTGTGGTGCTTATCTTGTGCGTGGTTGCCACAGTGTGCAAGTCATTGATCGGCCTGGAGACCCCTCTCCTCGTCTTACTCGTTAATGAAAGTCATATGGTGGCCTCATTATCTGTGGGTGGGGGCGTGTGTGCTCCCTCAGGCCAGAGAATTAAGGACCCTTCTTTGTTTCTGGTGACCGTGTGTGTGTGTGTGTGTGTGTGTGTGTGTGTGTGTGTGTGTGTGGGCGCGCGCGCGCGCGAGTGTGACCTCTGTGAAATGAGAAAATTAGAGATCATCAGAAGGGAAAAAAGGGGGTGCAAAGATTACTTCACACCTATACCTCATTTTGTCTCTGGTGTTACTTCAAATACCAGTTTTTTGTTTCTGACTGTAAAATCAGTGGGTTTTGTTAATTGAAAATTTATGGCTGTATCCTTAAGAACACCTTGCTTTTGGGGTGTAGATAATGGTAATATTCATATCTATGTGCATAGGAAAACTCCAACATACTGGACACTGCTTTCTGGATTTGGTTCGTGGGTAATGTCTTTATACTTACGTACATCCCTGTAGGAATACTCCAGCATATCTAGGACAGTTTTCTGGCTCTTCACTGTAGGTAGATTTTGTTTCTTCTCCTCCCTGTGAGAAGGTGGTCTGGCAGGTTCTTTCTACCTCCTTGCTCCCCCCCCCCCTTTAATACTTTGGCCAAGGGTTTTATTGCATATTACCTTGGCAGGCGCCCTGGCTTTGATCTGAATTTTCCTGTGTTCTGTTGTCTGGTTGTGCAGCCCAGCTCAATGGCTCCTCTTACAGGACTACTGAAAAACAGAACTACTTTTTTCATTGTCATCTCCAGAAAAAGAAGGAAGCTCTGCAGGTCCCAGAGTTGGACTCAGTAGAACTGCCTGCCTGACTGTTGGGCTGGTAAAGTTATGAGCAATTACAGCTGATGTAGAGACAGTTAAAAAGAGACCATTGTGATGGCACCAGCTATTCCTTGCTATTTTGTTTTTAAACCAAAATATTTAAATTTTAGAAGATAATTGTGACTAGATGTGGTGGTGCACCACTGTAATCCCAGCACTCAGAAGGCTGAGGCAGGAAGATTGCTGTGAGTTCAGGTCCAGCCTGGACTATAAAGTGAGTTCGAGGCCAGCCTGAACTGCATGGTGAAACCCTCTCTCTCTCTAAAAAAAAATAAATAAATAAAAAGGTTTTTTGTGTTGGGAAATTACATTCACTTTCTTTTTTTATGCTTCTAATTTTATAGAGTGATGGAAAATTATAGTTATAAAAATATACTTAAAATTATTTTATTATAATCTTTTGATTCAAAATAGTGGAAGGGCGATAGCTGGACATGGTGGCCCAAGCTGTAGTCCTGAGGACTGAGGCAAGAGAATTGCAAATTGGACAATTTATTGAGAACGTATCTTGGTGAAATAAAAAGGACTAAGGATGTAGTGCAGTGCTAGAATGTGTGCCTAACATGTGAGGCCTTGGGTTCAATCCCTAGTATTGCTAAAATATATACTGACATATACTGGACAATAGGAATAATTGGATGGGTTCAATTTTCTTCAGGATTCTCTTTAGCATTAGTTGTTTTTGAATCACATGTATTTTAATTTCTACTAATTTTCAGTGCAAAATGAAATGTAAACCCCCACAGCATCTGTTTATGCATATTCTCTCTGTTTAAAACATTTGCTTTTAGTTTGAAGAGGAAAATTTCCACTGGCTGAATCAGAATCCATTATTCTTGGTAAAAATTTGTACCTTATATTAACAAGTTTGAATTCTTTTTTTGTAACAGTTTTAACATTGGTAAAGATTTATACGTTTTCTTAATTGGATAAGTTTTGGTTTCATGGTATAATAAATTTTTAATATTAATGAACTTACAAACTCAAGTAGATCTAAAAACTAGTGTTGCTAATTGGAACTATCACTGAAGTAGCCTTACAAAACCACAATTTCATAGAGCTTTAATTTTGCAAGAGTGACTTAGCTATTTTTTATGTCAACAAAGGAACCTAATACAGCCTGCTCTTGTTATTTTAGCATTGTTAGTCAAAATTTTGCCAACATAGTCCAGTGTTTCTGTAGTGTGATAACTGATGAAAAATTCTAATGTAACTTTTATAACATGAAAGTAAATTACATTGTATTGTTTCTGTAGTAAATAATCACTATGTTAGTGCTGCTAATAATATATATTTGACATTTTGTTATCCAAAACTGGAACCTATTATCCTCCTGGCGATGTTTGCTAACAAAAATTTTTTTTTCCATTGACAGTTATCAATAGCTATTTTCTGCTTATTCTAAAACTGACAGTAATATTATTAATTATTAACTTGTACCATGAAAATTGTCTCTTTTTTTGGATTGGAACATGATTTTAAAATCAGCACTTTTAACAGCAGGGCATGGTGGCACACACCTATAATCCCAGTACTTGGGAGGCTGAGACAGGATCATCTCCCCAAGTTCCAGGCCAGACTACACTACATAGTGAGTTCATAGGGGCCAGCCTGAACTAGAACCTGTTTTAAAAAACCAAAACAGGGCTGGGGATTTAGCTCATTGGCATTTAGCTCATTTCCACTGCCTGGAAAATGTGAGGTTATGAGTTCAATCCCTGGTACCACCAAAAAAAAGAAAAAAACAGTTTCATATGATTCAGCTGATTTTGTTTTTAATGTTTGTACTATTTTTGTTTGTCTTTGCATAGTCTGGAAAACTATTTAGGACGTAGAGGATATAGCTGTCCTGTACAACCATCCTGCATTCTCATGCGTAGTTTACAGTTCCAAGTTAAATCAGAGTTCAGTATTGTATGCTATGACAGCGTTCCTGTTATTCACAGATGAACCATGAAGGGTACTGTTGTTACATTTTCTTCTCGCACAACTTTTGTTTTGCCTGGATGATATAATTGTGTCTTTTGTTTTTCATTTGCATAATTTTCTTTGTTGTCAGCCACTAATTTGACCTCAAACTCTGAGAGAACTAATAAACTTTCAGCATTTTCAGGTACTTTTTCATTTTCATTTCTTTTTCCTGGGAAAAAGTTCTTACCTTTCCTGTTCCAGTCTAGATTGGGTTGGTCTCCAACTACAGCATAGCTGTCATCCTAGGACTTCCCTTTGTCATCATCTTGGAAAATCCCTTTGCCAATACCTGTGTTAGCTCTATTTCCTGGATCCTGTCTTCCGTATTCTTTAGTGGCTTCCTGAGAAAAGGTACATACAAAACCTCATGTTCCTTCCTGAATTCAGAATTTACGTATCTGGAAATGCCTTTATTTTACCCTGCCATTTGAATGATGACTTAGCTCAATGGTGAATTCTACATTGAGAATTAGTGTCCCTTTTTTGAAGGCATTGTTCCATTATTAGGTTCTAATGTTGCTATTGAGAAGTCTGATACCATTCTCTTCTATTTCCTTTTTCCATTGAGCTGTATTTAGAAAAATTTGCATTTGGAAAAATTTTAGGATGTCTGGTATTCCTGACATTTCGTAATATACTTCGATGTAGGCCTTTTTCTCTCCTTTTGCTTGGAGGGTAGATTTTGTATTTTCATGACTGCATGGTATGTTTATACTCACACAGTTCGCTTTACCAGTATGCTATTTTTTGTGGGGGGGTGTGTTGTTTTGTTTTTGTTTTTGTCTTTTTCCAGATAGGGTTTCACTATGCAGTTCAAGCTGGCCTTGAACTCACTTTGTAAGGCTGGCCTTGAATCTCGAGTGCTGGGATTATGGGCATGCACCATCACTCGTGGCCTTCTTTGTGTTTTTGACATGCCTCTGTCTAAAGGTGGGGTTTTATTCCCTTTCTTAGAACCAGTACAAACATAAGTTCACCCTGGAATGTTTTGAGTCGTAATATCATGGTTCAGGAGCACAACTGGATGATCAGGAACACACACCTGCTAGGTGCCCAGGGCCATCAGGCCAAGTTCTCTGCTCACTTTTGCTTTATGGCACCTTTTCAGGCATTTTGAGATTAACCACTGGAGATGCATTTGTATTCGTTAGAGAATATGGGATGTTAAGATATTTTGCTGGTTTTTTTTAACTTTTAAATGAAATCATCAATGAAAATAACAGGTAACATCAAAGAATTTCTTCAAACAATGCAATGAAATCACCTCTAGAATGAACATGAAGCCATCAACTGCATTTAAAAGGAATCTACTTCAGTAAATAAAAGAACCATTCATGTCTTTAAGCTTCTTGATTAAATATCTTACCACTGAATGTGCCAAACAGATTGCAGGAATGTGACAAGAAGATGGAGACAGATTAAACTACAGAGACACACCTTGATTGGGCATTGTTAGAGTCCTGTTATGGTGTAGACACATTTTTAAAATATCCTTACCCATTATTTTTTCCTATTTATAGCTACTTTATCATTCATCTAACTTTATTACTAGACAAATTCAGATTCCTGTCCAAAATCTTAGAATGACCTACTTCTTCCAACTAGGCCCCACCTCCTGATAGCACATTCAGCCAGTGGACTCATGGATGAGGTTAGTGTCCCCAT